AACTGATTAACCTTCCTTCCAGTATGTTCTTGCTGTCTTAGGACTACAATCCGCACTCCTCCTTCAAAGACAGGGCTACTTACAGATTCTTCCTTACCTAAAATTACTTCTAAATTATTCTCTACTGTCAAATTTCTTTTAAAATTCCATAGAGTAGGTTTGCTGCAGATCTTGCTTGTTTGGAAAGCAAAACAAGACTGAACAAAGGCACCAAGATCTATTCTTATAAGTACAGTCCACACTCATCTGCGCCCCTTCCCAACTCAAGCATTCTCTTCCTGTCACTGTACTCTCCAAAGTCACCTCTTGGTTCTAAATCCAATACTGTACATGCATAAAATTTTAATGTATATCTTTCTCTTTTTGTTGTTAATTTACTTGCTAGAGTTTATCATTCTTATTTTTGGTTTCTGGTTTGCTCTTATGGGCCTGTTTTACTTATGAGGAGACCTTTTTTCCTGCACTGCAACTTTGTCACTGCTTGTCTTATTTAGAAGATGTTGGGTCAGTAGGTAGACGAAATCAAGGGGCCTCGTGATGAAGAAATATCTGCAAATTGGGGCCATGAAAATGATTACAGAGATTGGAGACAGAACATACTAGCATGGAGGCTGGAATTCTAAAATGAATCTCAGAGGTCCAGGGTGGAGCAGTCTGAAATTGGTCAGAGTAGCAGATCTAGGACATGCCAAGGGGTGGGAAATTTGGCTGAGAGATTCATAGAGGAATCAGTGGAAGTGACAATGACACTGTGACTTTTGCTTCTCTAAACTGGTTCATGTAGCTTTTGTCTCAGTAGTCACATTATATCTACCAATGGGTACATTTTATTCCTGATTTTGTCATCTTTGCAGACTTTGATACTTTTTATCATTCTTTCCTCCCTACTCTTCATTTTTTCCCATTAAAACTTTTCCTCCCTCAAGTTTTGCGACTATCCTCCCTCCTAATTTTCCTCCTGGCTTGGTTTTATTTATTTTTTTATTTTTGGCTGTTTGTTGTATTTGTCCCTTTAATGTCACCCAGTGCATTTCTCATGCTACACATGTACCTGGCATAACTGTATCTACTTTGAAGCTTAAGTCACATACTTTATCTTAGTTCTGGACATTTTCCTTAAATTTCATTTCAGGAGCTTGTCCCTAATGGATTTCAATATTTTTTGCTCCTTCTTTACAAATTTGCTCTTCGTTCTTGTTTTGGCTCCTACACTATGGCACTATTACACAGTCCCTCAGGCCAGAAACAAATTCCTCCCTCTGCTTTACCATCAACAGATTACTAAATCTACTAAGTACTGCTTTACAACCTTCTTAACCAGTGGTGCTCAAATTGGGGTTCTTGGGGGCTTCCCTGGTGGCACAGCGGTTAAGAATCTGCCTGCCAATGCAGGGGACACGGGTTCGAGCCCTGGTCCGGGAAGATCCCACATGCCGCGGAGCAATTAAGCCCGTAAGGCCACAACTAAAGGAAGCCCACGCGCAGCAACGAAGACCCAACGCAGCCATAAATAAATAAATAAATTTATTTATTTTTTAAAAATGGAGTTCTTGGATCACCAGCAGCACCATCACCTGGGAACTTGTTAGAAATTGAAATTCTCAGGCTCCTCCTCCAGATCTACTGAATCAGAATATCTGGGGATGGAGCCAGCAATCTGTTTTAATGTGCCCTCCAGGTGATTTTGATGCACATGAAAGTCTGAAGACCAGTGCTCTAAACAAGTGGTAGTTAATCCTGGGATCTATGGTTGGACTTGAGGAAGACCGAAAAACCCTTGTAATTGTATCTAAAACCAAGTGTATGTCCATATATATTTTCCCGAATGGATAGTTTTTATTCCTTTTATTCTTAAATGGGTTCAATGACCCTAAATTTGGGACTGTTTCTTGCTTTCCACTACTACCACCACTTACCCTTCGAACCAGTCCCTTTGCCTCTAGTTTCCACCCTTTTCAATATATCTCCATGTTGCAGTGACAACAATCATGCTAGGAATCTTGACATAGTCACTCTCTTGCTCAAACGTCTTCAACAGCTCCCAACAATTTGTCATAAAGTAACCTCTTAGCATGACAAACAGCATCTTTCATCAAGGCTTATTCTTTTGTGTGTTATCTCTAGTCATTCTCAGCCTTTGGTCTAGCAATACTAAACTTTGTATATTCTGGACGTCACTTGGGCTCTCATACCTTTCTGCTTTTGTATATTCTTCAAGCTCAGTCTGGAATGCCCTTCACTACTCCTCCCTCCCTCCTTGTCTGGCTAATTCCTATTTGTTCAAGATTCAGTGCAAGCAACATCTCTCCTGGGAAGACTTCCACTGGCACCAAGTTTAAGTGGCCTTCCTATATGCTCCCAATTCTCCCTGTGCTTATCCCTCTGGTAGTAGTTCTAAACATTTTGGTCTTAGGACCCTTTTACTCTTTACTCTTAAAAATTATCAAGCCGCCTGGAGGGGTGGGATAGGGAGGGTGGGAGGGAGGGAGATGCAAGAGGGAAGAGATATGGGAACATACGTATATGTATAACTGATTCACTTTGTTATAAAGCAGAAACTAACACACCATTGTAAAGCAATTATACCCCAATAAAGATGTTAAAAAAAATTATCAAGGACCCTAAGAGATTTATGGGATATCTATCTATATTTATCATATTGGAAATTAAATCTGGGACTTCCCTGGTGGTGCAGTGGTTAAGAATCCCCCTGCCTATGCGGGGGACATGGGTTTGAGCCCTGGTCCAGGAAGATCCCACATGCTGCAGAGCAGCTAAGCCTGTGTGCCACGACTACTGAAGCCCGTGCACCTAGAGCCTGTGCTCTGCAACAAGGAAAGCCACCACAATGAGAAGCCCCTGCACTGCAAGGAAGAGCAGCCCCCGCTTGCTGCAACTAGAGAAAGCCCGTGTGCAGCGACAAAGACTCAACACAATAAATAAATATATCAAAAAAGAAATTAAATCTGTGAACTTTAAGATTTAAAAAACCCATGTAAAAATAATTATAAACCTGTTATGTACTTATATAAATGATGCATTTTTTCAGCCTGCTCCCAATGGCTATGGGGGGTAAATGATGTATTTTTATGATAAAGTGATATTTCCCAAAAAAGAATCTTGAGAAGAGTGGTATTGCGTTACATTTTTCAAAGCTCTTTGATGTCTGGCTTAATAGAGGACAGCTGGATTTCCCTATCTGTTTGTGCATTCAATCTGTTGTGATATGTTTTTGTTGAAACATATGAAGAGAATCTGGTCTCACATAGATAAGGAGCTGGAAAAGGGGAAACTATTTTCATAGTCTTTCTAGATAATTCTAGATATTCTTGTTTGATACTACACCAAACTGGACATGTGATAGTTTCTAAGAGTGCAATTTCAATGTGGACTGAATCTGAAACCATATCAATTAACTTTTTGTATTCTGCTAGATTAAAATCCATGGGTCCATCCACTTTGATGACTCTTTTTGATTCTGTAATAGCATGCATTGATTATTTTGAAAACAGTGGTTCATTGAGTTGTAGAGATTTTCAAATGGTCACTTATTTCAATATATAATGTGAAAAAATACATTTGTTAATATCACGGGTGTTTTTAGCAGAAAAGTCTAAATACTGGAAAGCTGTCAAGCTCAAGGTGGTGGATACAAATTTTAAAAATTTTGGATCTTTGTGTGAAAACTCGAACAATCACACAAGTGCTTTTTCTGGAGATGTTCCTCCTACTTGGGCATGCAGCAGAAGTACTTACCATTTCTTCACACATTAAAAAGAGGTGTATGCTAGGGTGAAGATTTAATAAAATTAATAATTTTTACTCCTTTGTCAAGGACATTCTTAAGTTAAACTAGATTATTTTAAAAATCATAATTTTTGTATGCTATGAGTGCCAGGAGGTGAAGAATACAAAATACCAGTAGTGCAGTTTGACACCACTTCCTTGATTCCTGCTAAGGTGCCAGCAGTCACTCACTATTGCTTTTACACCATCAGTGCAATTGTCAACAAAGTGAAAAAGATCAACAGAGTCTTAGTATTATGGAAACGGTTTTGACCTTGCAATAATCACTCAAAAGGCTTCGAGGACCCTCCAGGTTCTGTGAATGGCATTTTGGGAACATCTGCCCTGGTTTCCCATACTACTGTTACTTGTCTCTCATTAGGTTGCAAGGTCTATGTGGACCTTCTGTAACTGTCTTTTATGTGCTCTTGTCTAACAGTGTCTGGTACATAACACTCAAATAATACCTGCGTAGTGAGCGAATAAATGTTATAAACGACAACCGCATAGCCTTCATCTTAACTGCTTCCTTCCTTAATTCCTTCAAACTTTACAGGTTTTGTAAAATTTCCCAAGTTTTTTCACAATTAGGACGCCGGCCAATTTTTTAAAATAGTCGGGGCGAGGGAGCTGCCTGTATATAATAATGACACGTTATAGTTCGGTCAAGTATTGATCTGCGATGCTCGAGTCATTCCTTCTTCACAGCTCCGCACCAGCAGGCCAGGCCTCTTGGTTCCCCAGTCCTATCTAGTATAAAGACTGGAAAGAGCTGGGTCTCCCATGTTTACAGGAGCACAAGAAACTGATCGAGTGGAGGCCGGGAAAAAACTCGATCAAAACCTTGCCAGGGAGAAGTGCAGCAGGAGAAACAGCCTCAGGTACCCGTGAGCCCCAGGCCGAAGCCCCGCGAGATCCTCCGGGTTGCCGGGGAGACGCTTCCGGCTGGCGCGCGCAGCCCTGGGAGCAGGGGAGTTGTGAAATGGACGGCTAGACCTGCCCGCTGCCGTGAATTCGCTAGCGGGGGCGCGCTCGCGGCCGCGCGTTCTCCGCTTTCCCGGCTTCGTCGCTGACGCGTCGTAGACGTTGGGGAGGCAGGCAGCTGCAGCGGGGTCGGGATGAACAGCGCCGGCTTCGGGTTGGGCTTAGGCTTCGGCCTCACCCCTACGGCGGTGATTCAGGTGACGAATCTGTCGTCGGCGGTGACCAGCGAGCAGATGCGGACGCTTTTTTCCTTCCTAGGAGAAATCGAGGAGCTGCGGCTCTACCCCCCGGAGTAAGTGCTCAAGCTCGGCTGGGGGAGGGGCGCGGGCGCCAGAGAGACCTCGGGAACCAAGGCATGGGGGAGAGCGCGGACGGGGGCGCGCGGTGTCAGTCACGTGACCGCCGGGTTTACCTTGGTGCCCATGTTTGATTAGGGCACCGCGGCCCGGGCCCCACGCTCCTGCTTTCCTTGTTAGTCGTATTTAGTGGGTTAACCTCTGCCCAGAACCCTTACAGAGGAGTTAGAGAGGTTGCCTTTTTCGTGCTTTCCGGCCTATGGTCGCCGCCGGGTCCTCGAATTCAGTGCCCTTCCTCCCCTTCTTTTTTTTCCCGAACTTAAGATGGCCGCAGGTGGGCCCGCGGTAGTCCTCATGGCAAGCTCCTGATAGCGTTTTTGCAATGGCAAATCGCGGAGACTGCGCCTGATAAACTGTCCAGTTCTTAGTGCCTCAGTGTCGGACCGTTGTTGCTGACGGGGAAGTGTGCAGCTGATGACAGATGGAATTAGGCCTAAATTTGTCCCTAGGCCTGTGTTCACAAATTTAGCATCTTCTTGGTTCATTTAACCGAGCCCATCCATGTTGTTAAAGATCATGTCTGTTCACCCTTTTGGCAACGGATTAAAATTTCCTCCTAGAAGGTCACACCGTCCTAAACCTTTCAGAAAAAGTAATAGTCCGTACAGATTACTCCTGCTGTATACTTTTAAAAGTCCAGATCTGGACTGGCATTCACAGTTCTCAGACACTTCCCGAGTAGTGTATTTTGAAGTAATATTTCCCTTGTACAGTACTATCTACTCACAGAATTTGTAAGGGGTTTGAAGGTTGTTTACTTTCTTACAGGCATAAACTTTTAAAGCCAGAGCTTAGAATATGAAAATTCTCAGTATTTTGTTCATTTTGTCAAAATCCTTTGAAGGAAGGGATAGTAGTTGCCCAGGATTTTTCTCCTTTTTAAAAAAATTTGTATTTGACTTTTTGGTTTGTTTCATAGTGATGCACGTAGACCTATTTTTTTCGGTTTTCTCTCTGTAAGTATATTGCATTGTTACTGCATAGATATTGATAAAAGTTGGTGTTTGGATTTTTAAATTTTACTTAAGTTTTTCTTCTCATTTTTGTTTTGAAGTATTTCATGTATACAGAAAAGCTAAAGAATAACTCCCATGTTCCCTTCATCTGCATTTATAGTTTGCCACAGTTGATTTCTGTCTTTGTGTCTCCCCCTCCCTCTCCCCACCTACACACACAGACACCTCTACAACCCTCCCCTCTCCCATGCTTTTAAAAGTAGTTGCAGACACCATGACTATTCATTCCTCAACACTTAAATGTGAATCTCTTAAGAAGTACATTCTCCTGCATTACCACAATGCTATTAACACATCCAAGAAGTTTAACATTGATTAAAATATAACATCTGAATTTCTTCAGTTATACTGATAACGCCTTTTTTCCATTTTCTTTTTCTGATCTAGGATATAATCAGATCACTCAATGCATTTGGTTATCTCTAATCTAGGACAGCCACCCCTCCACCCTCCCAGTCGCCTTTTATTTTTTTTCCCAGTCACCTTTTTAAAAGTTTTTCATGACATTAATATTTTGTCTTGTAGTTTGTGTTGTAGAATGACTTAATCTGGGTTTATATAAATTGGTTCTACATGAATAGATTCGGTAATACAGTTTTGTCAAAGATGCTTCATAAGGGCATGCACAGGTATCTTTACTGACTAGCCATCCCATGTATAGCTTTGAATATCTTATAACTTTGAAAGTGCTTTCAGCTATCTCTTCATTTAAGCGCTCAGAACATTTCTTAATAATTGAGAACTGTTTGGAGGAGTGCTGTATTCTGAAAGAATTGGAATCAAATAGTAAAATATTTTGTACATGATTGTAAACTAACCTTGCTTTCAAGGTTGTGATAATAAGGTGTCTCATGGGCAGAAGAAATATATCACAGAATATTCTTCATTGCCAACGTAACACCACTTACATAGTTGAAAAGTGCACTTGGGTGGCAATATGCTGCCAGTTATCATCTGACATTTAGTAATGGGCTGTTTTTTGAAATCAAATATTAGTTGCTTGGAGTTTAGAAGTCAGAGAATAAAAAAGCTCGTCACTTAAACAGTGCATTAATATAGAATTATTGTGTCACAAACTGTAATACATTTTGCAAAATTGTAACATAAATATAACACATATAAGCGAGGCAAAATCCTTGACCAGTTTTTCTTAAAGGCAGTCAGTGCCTATTCCTGTTTCTCACAAGTATTTACATGCTTTTCTAATGACATGTTTTCTGCTTGCTCTGTAATGAAGTTGTCATAACCTGGTCCTTATATTAAAGATGTGTTTGCAGATTTGGGCCGAAATGCATAAAAATGCAATAGTAGTAGTTGTATTGAAGACAGATGATTCTATTTTGCAGTGTTGTGGAAACAGTATTTTATGATTAATCTTTGGAAGCTGAGTAGAAATTCATTTGTTTTAAATTTGGAATGATATTTCTTTAATAGAATGTGAGAATAGTTTCTCATTAACATTTTAAGAATTTGGTTGCTAATATGAAAATTCAGATTTTTAAATTTATTTTTTTTTTGGCATGAGGCCATGATTCAGTTTCTTTTTAAACATTAAGAATTGGTGTAAACATTCACTGTAAATATTAAAAATTCTTATTAGTGCTACCAGATGATAAATATCCAGAGTTTCTGTTTTAACTTTTTACTCAATAAGGGAATCTCATACATCATGAAAACCTTTTTACAATGGTAAGAAATCTTTGTTGTTTTTTCAGTAAGCTTTTCATGGAGGTATAAGGAGCAGAAAAGTGCAGGGATAAGTGTATACAGCTTGTTGAATTTTCACAAAGTGAACACATCCAGCACCCGGATAGGATTCTCTGTGCCCTAGGAGTTCTCATCTCCCCCCTCAAGTGCATAATACCCCTAGGGTAATCCTGGCCTGATTTCTAACATCAACACTTGTGGGGTTTTTTTGTTTTTGTTTTTTTGCTTGCTGGTTTTCTTCACTTCTCTGGTCTTTAAAAGTACTAATAAGGTAAAAGCTGTCAACTAGCTAAAATTAATATAACCAATATAGTCATATCAGGAGAAATAGAGAAAAAGGTACACTGGCAGTGATCCTACCACCCTATCAAAACCTCTCTCCAGTCCTTTTTACATGCATTTAGTTTAATATAGTGTAATCAAAGGATTTATACACCGTTACCGTTATACCACTCAGCCTGTGGTAAGCATTTTTCATATTGTTGTGTTTTATTTATTGTAATATTTAAAGGGTGATGTCTCAAGTGTGTATGTGTGTTTGAAATTCTGTCATTGAATTTTAGCTAGAAATATTTGAAGAATGTGTATTTTTGATTGTCCACAGTGATTGGAGGGCCTCTGGCATTTAGTGGGTAAGTGTCAATAATTCATAAGGAAGTCTTACAGAAAGGAGAATTGTGGCATCCAGACAATCACTGGAGCCCTACTGAGAAACCCTGTTATACATTGTGTCAGTTAATATTTCCATACTTAAAGCTATATACTTTGACCATGTTTTGCATTGTATCTTTTTTGATAGATCCTCAAGGGATGTATATTAATATAATAAAGTATTGGACATAGTATTACCACATTGATTTTTTAAAAGATTGTACAGTGCCATCACCATGTTTAGTGAAAAATAAGGTAACCAGTTAGGGTCTAAGAAATTTAACTGGTGCTCAAAAAGTTGGTTCTGTGATTTCTCCATTAGACTCCCAGTGAGAAATTCTGATTTGTTTGAAAAGTGATTGTAGAAGGTTTTATATTTAAAGAAATAAAACAAAACTTGAAAACTTGATTCAACAAATGGGGTCAAAGTAAAATGTGCTGTGTTTGAGTACTGTTACTTTCTTTAGAGGCATACATTTAGACCAAATGGAATATGTAACCCCTTTTAAAAATTAAAAGTGTAGGTCAGAGTTAAATTTGAAAATGATAATCCTATTTAATTTTTTAAAAAGTAAATGTTATTTAATAGCCTAGATATACTAGAGAGGAAGATCTAAATATAAGATTTGGTAATATACTGATTTATAAATCTGTAAATACACATTTGTTTGCTGAGATATCTATATTTAGGCTTGCCACTGTATTATTTTAGCCTATAATATTCAAAATAAAAGTGTTACTGCCTCTCCTGAAAAGCTCATATGTTTACATTTTTTATAAAGTAAATACTGTGTTGCTTTTACTCTCTATTTTAAGGAAGGTAATTGGAGATGAAGATGAGAAAAATTGCTTATAGCACTAGGATCCATACTATAATGCTGTTCAGAACAGATCAGCATCTTTTAACCAGTTTTTGGGCTTCTCAACTCTAAGTAGTGTGTGGTTTACCAACCAGGCTCACATTTCTTATTCCTGTGGATGTTTTAAATTTGAAATGATGTGGTTTTCAAGTAGGGATATTTGGAAATGTTTGTAGTTTTCAACAGTGATGATTTAGGTTTCCATCCTTTCACAAAAGGATCTGTCAATTTAGGAAATACAGTTTCAGTGGTGGCTTGTCAGGTTCTTCAAGTGCTAAAAGAGAGTATTCTTGTTGAAATTGCTAGGGCTTTAGTTGTAATCATAGATTTTTTTTTGGTTGCAAAGGGCAGAAACAGTGTTACCTAATCTAGCTCAAGAAGAGACATTATTAAAAGAAAGAGATTTCCCTGAGTAGAAGAATAAAGACTTGGCCTCGTGGGAGCTGGGACTGGGAACCAGAAGGGTATCAACATCCAAGGCGACTATCTGCCTCTTCCTGTCAGGCTTTATTGTCAGCTCAGTTTGTTTCTGTGTATGTGCTCAATTTCTTTTCAGACGTATTCTGTACTCATGTGGCATCTGGCCCAAGCCCTTACTCTAAGTGACTTTCAAGTTCATTTGGTCAGGCCACCCAAATTACAGGTTTCGCGTTAGCCAGTGAAATAAGCCCTTGTGTCATGTGGCTGATCAGTTGTGTTTGAAAGCTTGAAAGATCTGTTGAGGGTTTCACATAAGGAAACTGTGCTGAAAGTATATAGGATGTATTGGTAGCACATATAGGAGGGGGTACCTAGTCACTTTGATATTTTAAAATGGCTTTCCAGAAGACTTCGAAACTTGAGCCTTGAAGAAAAGTGGAATTACTGTTCAAAAAGGCAGTAAGAGAGCACATCATAGCCAAATGAAACAACATGTTCAAAGATGGCCCAGATGGTTCAGGATGTGTTCTGGGAACCACAAGTATTTTTATGCCTGGATTTTTTAAATGATGAAGCAAGAAAAGAAGGGTGTCTGAGGAAATTTAAGCAGTTGCATGACATGAAGAGATTTAGGGTTTAGAAAGATTACTCTAACAGCTTTTGTGGAAGATTTTTAATAAGGAGGACTTGAGATTGGATGCAGTGTGATTAGTTAGGAGCCATTGTAGTAATCCAGGTGAGAAATGATAAGGGCCTGAATGAAGGCATTGATACTGAGAGTGTTGAAAGAAATTAATGTGACAACTATTTGGGAGGCAGTCTTCAGAGGATTTAAAGACCAATAGGATGAAAAAGAAGGAAGGGTCACGGATGGAAACAACCCTCAAATCTCAGTAGTTTGATAAAAACAAGATTATTTCTTATACTAAACTGGTGGGGTTGGGGACTCTACTCGTTGTAGTCACTCATTCTGGGATGAAGCTGATATATCAGCCACCCATCTCTTTGATGTTGCTGGTCACTGTGGCAGAGAAAAAGAACCGAGCAGTGGCCCTTAAGGCTACTGAATAGGAACACATGTCAATTATGTTCACATTTAACTGGCCAAAGCAAATTGCACGGCCACACCTAACTTCAAGGAGAAAAGAAATAGAATTTTATTACGTAGCCAGAAGGAGATTTGGAAATATTTGGTGAACAGTACTAATGATGGTCACATTAACGACTTCCGGATTTCTGACTTAGATAATGTGGTAGTATCTTTAACTGAGATATGAAATTAGGACAAAGGGCAGGATTGGTGCAGAAGGAGGGTAATGAATTTAAGAATAAGTTCAAGGGTGGGTCCTGTGACTGACAGATCACCGTGCAGTATGCCAGCAGGCACTTGGATCTGGGAATCTAGAGCTCTGGAGAGGCCTAAATTGGTGACTTGGTAATGTATAGGTGAGTTAAGTCTGGATGCAGATGTGTTTACCTCATGGCAAGTACAAGAGCTTGACTTACATATTGAGTAGGGGGAGGTTGTTGGAGAGGACTGGCTTGAAGCCTGAATCAGATGGCCTTAGGCAGGAAAGAATTGAGTTGGGTTGGGTGAGAAAGAGGTAGAGTTTTACTTTTGCTAGCCTGACTCGTTAGGTTAATAATATATATAGTTTAAAGTTCTAAATGCAAATATATTTTATTATCTTAGTGTTTGGTTAATATCATAAATATATTTAGCTGTTAGCAAGCTGGATTTGTTGCTGTATGTAATTTTTAATTAAAAAAATGAATATGGAATTACAAAATAAGTAGTACATTAAAGTGGCTTTAAAATTCTTGATTAATTGAATAATTAAGGTTGCATGAGATTTGGAATTAGATGATTAGACATTAAATCTCATCTTTGCCATTTACTAGGTCTAGGATTATGGTGAACTTCCTTGACCTGTTTTGTAAACTAAAGTAAATTATTGTTGCTGCACAATGCATATTTAGTACTTTTCAAGTGATCTTTTTTTAGTGTGAAAAACTTAATATTTTAAAGGATTGTACATTTATGTTAAACATTAGCTGTATATTTAGTGTCTTTTTTTATTTGCTAAAGACAATTACAGACTTTAATTGAACATAATTATGGGCAGGTTGACAAAATGATCCTTTATGAGGATAGTGTATTTTGGAATCTAACATGATGGATTCATATTGTGGAAAAATTGCTTTTATCTGTGCCGTGTCTGGCTTCTTTTTCCTTTAGTCCTGCCTAGATTAAGTCTAGTAGGATTTATAAGAGTCTTTGCTCTTTTGCATATAAAATATGTAAAATTTTGTTTGTAAAAGTTTTTGTCTGGAAAATCACAATGCTGCCTAGCCTGAAGTAGGCCAGTATATGCAAAAGACCTTAATTTTAATTCCAGGTTATCTGATTGTTTCTAAGACTGTTGTGAAGTTTTTAGTGATTTAAATGCCAGGAATCACATTAGGGAGGGTTGGAAGTAGTTAGAAAATTTGAAGTCTTGAGGATTGGGGCTTTTTTATGAAACGGGATTTTGCCTGTTGATGATGATGCACTGATTGGACATCCTTGGGTTAAGTCAGCTGTTTTCACATTTCACTCAGATTAAGAAGGCATTAATTTAAATTTCAGGTTTTTAACAAATAAGGCTATAGACCTGCCTAGATGTGCCTTCAGTCATTGCAGCAAATCACCATTAAAAGACTAAGTTCTGCTATTTCATGTCTTACTGATCCTTAGCAACAAAAATTCCTGTCTTGATTGTAAGATTATGTAAAGATATAAGTAAGAAATTTTAAATGAAAACCAACCAAATGTTAATTAGTTCAATTGTTTTTCTTTTTATCTTGCAGCAACGCACCTCTTGCTTTTTCTTCCAAAGTATGTTATGTTAAGTTTCGTGATCCATCAAGTGTTGGCGTGGCCCAGCATCTAACTAACACGGTTTTTATTGACAGAGCTCTGATAGTTGTTCCTTGTGCAGAAGGTTAGTATCTCACATGTTTTTTTCGGTTATTTTAATCTCTGTCCTGTCTGTTACTACCATTGGCTTTCCTAGAAATTGGCAAGTAGATATGGTGTGTGTGTGTGTGTAAGAATGAAATTTGGAGGTGGAAAGGATTTTACGTAATAATAAAATATATTAAAATGGTTAATTTATTACTTATGTATATTTGAGATTTTATAGCTAAACATTTAAAAATTTATAAATTACTTGGCTTCTTTGGTTTGCTTTGACTTTCTGTATTCAGTTTGCAAGTTGTAAAGAAAGCTTTTTGAAATTAAAATATTAAGTTGGTAGAGGACATTATTTAAAATGTGTAAATAAGTAAGCATTTGCCCCTGTGTATACCTATTAAAGATATTGCATAAATAAAAACAGTGTACACATTTCACACAAATGGGGGTTAGGTAGTAATTATGTTTAAGAACAATATTCATAATTTAAGCTTTAAAGTATCTTCTTAAGGTAATTTACCTTAATTGTTACTGAGACCATTATTTTACATTCAGTGTAATTTGCTGTGCAACTAGAATTTACTTTTAATTTTGCTGGCTTTTTTTTGCGGGGGAGGGAGGGGTGGTGGTGGTGGTGATTAATTGAAGAAAAATCATGGAAAGCAATTTTCCAAAGCCTCCATCGAGGAAATAGTTGTTGAAGGTGGAAACAAGGCCAAAGGCCTTATAGTAATTCGTTAAATTTTATGACATAACCTGCTTTAAGAGCTAATTATTATTAATGCCTATTTTTTTAGTAACTTCTATTTGCAGAGCCATTCACATTCATTATACTAGGCTCTGCTGAATTTGACAGTTCTGGTGTGTAATTAACTTTTATTCAGAGCACTGACTATGACATGTGTACATGGATTTTAGAATTGGGTTATTATAATTTAAATGTCTTTAAAATATATTTTCACTGGTGGCTGGTGGTAACTGTTTTACAACATAAAAATTTTACCTGAAACAATTTAAGGAGCTTTCATATGTCATGTTTTAAAACTTTTTTTAGAAACCAGGCTCACATTAAAATACTGTATAATAAACAGTTTGCTGCATTTTCAAGGTTTTATGCATATTTCAGAATGTCTGTTCTGGGATGTCAGAAACATTAGTCAGATACAGTGAGTATGACTCTGATATTTTTGATGTCCCAGAATAGGACATTCTGGATTTTTTCAGATAAATTTGAAAGTATTTTTCCCATGTCTAGGGGTTAGAGAGGGGTAGGGAGAATAAAATAAATAATAGCGAATATAGTAGAATAAATAAAAAATGAATTAAAGTTAATTATTTGCTAAATCTATCTTTATCTACTAATCTTTAAGGGGACAATGACCCCAAAATTGGAGAACAAGGTGAGAAAAGAGCTGGTAATGATTTAGTTCTGTATACCAAGTTCATACCAATTTCATACCAAGTAAACTACATGGGAAAAAATAAATCAGGTAGAAGTTTTACTAAATGGGAGTGTTAATTGTATCAAAAAATTATGCCACCAGCAGCACAGTATCTTCTGTGATTTTAGCTTATTATTGAACTGGAAGGAAAAATTTTGTTAGTGTTGCTCTGTTGGAACCTTGCTATATTCCCATAAAATTTTTCATATATTGAGAAGTGACCATGGTTTGTCATAAATGTTCAAGATTATGGGCATGTAGAGGTTCCTTTTTGTTTGTTTGTTTTACTTGATAGAAATAAATAAATGCACATTTATTATAATGGCTTTTGAATATTTTTAGTATTAACAAACAGACAAAATTTTGCTATTTTTGAACGTGAAAATTCAAGCATATTTTTATTCCAGTTTAAAGTATTTTAGAACACTAACCTATAAAATAATTTGTATTGGAAAAACATTCAGATACACATTTTTCATTAAATACAACAAAAATGAATTTATAGAACATGAAGAATGTCACAGTGAGCTGTTAAAAGATCTGATTATGCACTGCAAGCAAAGTAATAATGTATTGTTGTGTTAAAAAAGATAGCAAAGTGAGTTTGAAATAAATCAAAGGAAAGAGTTCCAGTGGAGTAAGTTCTGTAAGAGGAGATGTGCTGTAAGCAGTCTTCTGTTTACTTCACTGATTGTATTCTTTCCTTGATGTTATAGAAACAGCATTATGAAAGAAGTGAGAAAACCATAGAAAAAAATTGTAAGAAGTTTTTTTCAGTTTCTTTCAATTTGCTGTTTTTTTTAATGCAGACAGTAGTACTGTGAGATCCTAAGCCGTTTAAGTAATGTTTGATGTGTAATAGTTTCGTACATATTAAGCATTAGCTATTGTTAATAAAACATGCCACTTCAAAATAAAATATACTTTCATTATACTCGTCCAAATATGACCTCTTTTTGTTGTTACGTGCATCTCAGATTTCTTTTTATAAATGTTAACACTTAGAAAAAGATAAGGTCAAACATAATAAGGGTGTCAGCCTAATCATCAGTCATAAGTTTATGTCCACATTTTCTGGTAGATGGATTTTGACTATTAATTTGGTTTTGTATGTTTTCTCTATGTGATATTTGTGCATTATTAGATGACTAGACTGGCCAAGGCAGACCTGTTACACTTGCCTGAGTTAGGCATTGTTTGCCATGCCACTAAACCTGCCGTCAAGTGAAACCTTCATTGGGGAAATGAGATCGGAGTCTGAACCGCAGAAGATGGACGCCCTGTCTCTGTTTTTTATTGTTTTACTTTAATTTCATTTCTTTTTCTTTATTTTGTCCCTTTTTTTTTGTTTTTGTTTTTGTTTTTGTTTTGTTAAATCTCTTTCACTTTAACTTGTGAGCTGGTTTTCCAGTTCTTTGTAAATGGTATTCCATTAAGGGTTCATAACATTGCATTGCAAATTATATTGGGAGATGATTAGTAGAGCTCATCCTTAACATAAAAGAAATTTTCACAGTAAATTAGGATATGGTTTCGTGAAGCTCAATGCTAGTCTTAATTGGTGTTTATAAACTGATCAGGTACATTTTGTTCCCAAAACACTAAAACACTGATGAGATTCTTAGGAACACGTTTTGATCTCAGTGTAACATTTTTGCAGTTTTCTCCCAAGTCTGCATCTGTCATAAAGACCAACTGATAGCTTCTAATTTTCGTCCTCCTCCCTTAGAATTTTAGGCATACAAAATCATCAAGGAAAATAAGTAAATTTCTTATAACATTCTGGGGGTAGAGGACAAGAGGAGACTTTTCACTTTTATGATATTTATTATAGAAAATAGCATTTCTTTGATTTGAAAACACTTTTAATTGCCTACGTGGGGAATGGATATTTGAGAAACTGTTGAATACTTACACTTGTGTGTGTATTTTTTTGCTTGAATTTTTTTGTTGAAAAATGTTCAGAGATTACTAGTTTCTAAATGGATTCTGAGATTAGGATGAGTGAGAGACATTGTTTTTTCTCTCAGTTGTCTTTGATGAGTACAGTTTGGGAAAAATGCTAAATGCTTATTTGTTTTATACTTTTATACACTCTGATAGTATTTGGAGGGTATATTTGGTAGAATTTTATCCTGAAAATTAAGCAATGGAACTTTTTTCTTAAAGTATCTTTAATGGTAATTAGAAAAGTAAAAAATATTGTGCTTTTAGTTAGACTTAATACTTATAATAGTTTATTATACTGTGAGAGACAGTGAGAGGCAGACAACCTCCTGATACTATTTTTAAGCCAACACTGAATGACTTTATTATGTTAAGTAATCAACTTTTGGCCTGTATTGAATACCCGTTTTGTTTGTGTGGTCTTTCATGTGGATAGTTTTGCTTATTTAATGGACAGGTAATATTAAATTGGGGACATTACTAGATTGGAACTCTTTATTTGTTTTTTAGGTGCATAAATTAGGGTAGTGAAGCATAGGGTTTGTACCTTAGGACCTCAGTTGACTTATCAAGATGTGTACAGGTTTTACAAATATTAAAAAAGTAATACTTATTTTTAACAGATAAAGCAGGTCTGATAGTGATGTAAATAGTATATGTGAGTATACAGATAAATGTCTTAATGCTAATAACTAATAAATACAAAATAAATTACTGTTATTTGATGTCTTCAGTAAGGCCTTCCTGCCTTTTAATCTTAATGCATGTTAAAATCAGTGCTTATGCAGAATTTACTGAAATAATAAAATGACTTTGTTTTTGAAATTAGTAAATTAAGGTAATATAGCCTTAGATGTTGCAAAGCTTAGAAATAAGTAGGCATTTGCTAAAGCTAATAAAATGTGATTTCTGTATTTCTATAAATAAGGTGTAACCACTACTTAAAGCAAGTTTTAAAATTCGTCTTGAATTCCATCCATGTTTAGAAATATATTCAGATAATTTTTTTAGAGATTTATCCCTGCACATGTGGTTGTGTTAAGTCGAATTTTTACCACTGAAACCCCACATGGTGCTTTTTTGAAAATTTACTCCATATGCTATTTTCAATTTGGCGTGACTTTGTACTTTAAATTACTTTTGAAGAATTCATAATGGAAACGTGTAGCCAAATACCACATAATTATGAGTAGTTCTGAAATTGCTATATGTAGTCAACTTTTTAGAAATTTTCTTTTTGGGAAGGTTGAGAGAAAGGACCAGAAAAAATGTGTGAAAGTCCCAGCCCTTATCAAAATTAATTGATTAGAATTCAGTAATTAAATGTGGCAAATTGATAGACTTAATTCAGAGTAAATTTCCTTTTTTTTAGTCGTAGCGATTTCTTTTTCTTAGTGTCTAGGGTTATTTTAATGTTATTGTTGTTGTTATTATTAGGCACTTAGGACGCTTATAAGCAAGACATTTAGGCATTAACCACCCCTCTTCAGATAAGTATACATAAATTGGTTCTAAAAGTCAGTAATATAAGAAGTTTCCTGAGACTAGGGAACTTTTTTTTGTTAGTTATTTTCAAAAATGTTAGCAGTTTCCCAAGGCATATTCTTTGGAACTGGATTCTTTTAGTCATCTCTGTCATTGTTGGTGAGATGCCTTATTAACTGAATGGGTGTAGGCTTCCTTTCCAATTGAAGCTGATTACATGTGGTAGGCTTTTGGTTTTTTCTGTCTACTTGAAATTAAATGGGATCTTTTGGAAGGTTATCAAAATTGTTTGCATCACAAGTAGGTAGTTTCAATGAACAGGATAGGGACACTCAGGAACAGATTTCAATTCGCACATATTTGTTTTTTTCTTTTTCTTTTTTTTGACTAATTTGGTTATTTGCCATTTCTGGGGATTAAACTTTAAAAAATGTTCTTCTTTTCTGTATCTGATGTTCTGTGTGCTATTAGTGATGCAGCCAACACGAACGGTTGTCATGTGTAACACAACTTTCGATCACCGCGAAAACACCGTCCTGGGAAAGCGTCCATGCTTGATATCGTTTGGTTCATGAACATTAAGTTTCCAGTACAGGTGACCCATAGCTCAAAGTGTTAAATAATTGTCTACATTATTCAATTTTTAAAATAATATTCCATTAATGAGATTGTTAGTCTTTGAAGTTTTGCTCACTTTTATTTTTCCTAGTAGAGCAGGGTAAAAGGAAAGACTTAAGTTCTTATTTATTTCTTTATACGGATCTGATAGATTCATTTATTATTATTATTTTTTAAGTGCAAGGGTAATTGTAAAATCATAGTATAAAGTTTGTGTGGTGTTTCTGCTTTCTTTAATGTTTGGAACTTGCCTCTGCAGGTAAAATCCCAGAGGAAGCCAAAGCTCTCTCTCTATTGGCTCCTGCTCCAACCATGACAAGTCTGATGCCTGGTGCAGGCTTGCTTCCCATACCGACTCCAAATCCCTTAACTACAGTAAGTATGATACACCCTCTTCTAAAGGGAGTGATCATTTAACTGTGTAATTGGTTAAATAAAGAGCTTAGAAAGTTTTTTTTTTTTTTTTAAGAGCTTAGAAAGCTATTTCTATTTTAAGTATTTGTGTTTTTAAATGGAGAGAATTCGAAATATCTGCGTAATTTTTTCCCCACGTAACTGACTTGAACTGCCTTTTGGAATTGCTTATGAAGTAATTGGGGATTCATTTAAATTTGAGAATTGAGATATATTATTCATTAGAAAATCAGTTATTGAAATTCAGCATTTTAGATAGCATAGGGAATTGGAGAATCTAGGTAACTGTATTTCCCAGTTCAGGAGGACTAAATCCATTTGAAAAATTTGAAATGATTTACACCGTTGGTAATGGGAAAAATATCTCAGAGAAGCATTTGTCTGATACTGAGAAAATGTAACATGGTAAAAACATGGCAAAAATATTTTTCATTAGCAGAATTAAATAGTAATTTAATGCCTCATTTGTGATTTCCAAGTGGTGTCAAAAAAAGATTTGCTGTTACTGGGTTCTTGGTTTATATAAAAGATTCTGGTCATTTATTTTAAATAAGAGTCATTTTTTTTCAAAAATAAATCCAAGACAAATACAGAACTCACATTAATTGAAAGCTGTGTTTTACTTTTTGGTACTGGATTCTTAGGGAGTGAACCAGTAAACTTTATGATTATAGTTTATCCAAGTTATAAAAGTGCTTTTTGAAACTTGGAAGTGCAAAATTTTAGGATTTTCACATGGCACTATTCTGCTGGAGACCTGTATTGTGATCCATGGGAGGAAAATGCCTTTTATTTTTTATTTTATTTTAATATCTTTATTGGAGTATAATTGCTTTACAATGTTGTGTTAGTTTCTGCCATATAACAAAGTTGTGTTAGTTTCTGCTGAATCAGCTGTACGTATACATATATCCCCATATCCCCTCCCGCGTCTCCCTCCCGCCTTCCCTATCCTACCCCTCTAGGTGGTCACAAAGCACGGAGCTGATCTCCCTGTGCTTAGCGTCTGCTTCCCACTAGCTGTCTGTTTTACATTTGGTAGTGTATATATGTCAGTGCCACTCTCTCACTTCGTCCTAGCTTACCCTTCCCCCTCCCCGTGTCCTCTATTATCTACGTATGCTTTATTCTGTCCTGCCCCTAGGTTCTACAGAACCTTTTTTTTTTTTTTTTAGATTCCCTATATATGTGTAAGCATACGGTATTTGTTTTTCGGTTTCTGATTTACTTCACTCTGTATGACAGACTCTAGGTCCATCCACCTCACTACAAATAACTCAATTTTGTTGCTTTTTTTTTTTTTTTTTTTGCTGTACGGGCCTCTCACTGTTGAGGCCTCTCCCATTGCGGAGCACAGGCTCCGGACATGCAGGCTCAGCGGCCATGGCTCATGGGCCTAGCTGCTCCGCGGCATGTGGGATCTTCCCAGACCGGGGCACGAACCCGTGTCCCCTGCATTGGCAGGTGGACTCTCAACCACTGCGCCACCAGGGAAGCCCTCTATTTTGTTTCTTTTTATGGCTGAGTAATATTCCATTGTATATATGTGCTGCATCTTCTTTATCCATTCATCTGTTGATGGACACTTAGGTTGCTTCCATGTCCTGGCTATTGTAAATAGTGCTGCAGTGAACATTGTGGTACATGACTCTTTTTGAATTATGGTTTTGTCAGGGTATATGCCCAGTAGTAGGATTGCTGGGTCGTATGGTAGTTCTATTTTTAGTTTTTTAAGGAACCTCCATACTGTTCTCCATAGTGGCTGTATCAGTTTACATTCCCACCAACAGTGCAAAAGGGTTCCCTTTTCTCCACACCCTCTCCAGCATTTATTGTTTGTAGATTTTTTGACGATGGCCATTCTAACTGGTGTGGGGTGATACCTCATTGTAGTTTCGATTTGCATTTCTCTAATGATTAGTGGTGTAGAGCATCCTTTCATGTGTTTGTTGGCAATCTGTATATCTTCTTTGGAGAAATGTCTATTTAGGTCTTCTGCCCATTTTTGGATTGGGTTGTTTGTTTTTTTGATATTGAGCTGCATGAGCTGCTTGTATATTTTGGAGATTAATCCTTTGTCAGTGGCTTCGTTTGCAAATATTTTCTCCCATTTTGAGGGTTGTCTTGTTGTCTTGTTTTGGTTTCCTTTGCTGTGCAAAAATTTTTTAAGTTTCATTAGGTCCCGTTTGTTTATTTTTGTTTTTATTTCCATTTCTCTAGGAGGTGGGTCAAAAGTGATCTTGCTGTGATTTATGTCATAGAATGTTCTGCCTATGTTTTCCTCTAAGAGTTTTATAGTGACTGGCCTTACATTTAGGTGTTTAATCCATTTTGAGTTTATTTTTGTGTATGGTGTTAGGGAGTGTTCTAATTTCATACTTTTACATGTAGCTGTCCAGTGAAAGATAAGGTGACCATATGTGTGTGGGTTTAGCTCTGCGCTTTCTGTCCTGTTCCGTTGATCTATATTTCTGTTTTTGTGCCAGTAGTATACTATCTTGATTACTGTAGCTTTGTAGTATAGCCTGAAGTCAGGGAGCTTGATTCCTCCAGCTCTGTTTTTCTTTCTCAAGATTGCTTTGGCTTTTCGGGGTCTTTTGTGTTTCCATACAAATTGTGAAATTTTTTGTTCTAGTTCTGTGAAAAATGCCATTGGTAGTTTGATAGGGATTGCATTGAATCTATAGATTGCTTTGGGTAGTATAGTCATTTTCACAATGTTGATTCTTCCAATCCAAGAACATGGTATATCTCTCCATCTGTTTGTATCATCTTTAATTTCTTTCATCAGTGTCTTATAGTTTTCTGCATACAGGTATTTTGTCTCCTTAGGTAGGTTTATTCCTAGGTGTTTTATTCTTTTTGTTGCAGTGGTAAATGGGAGTGATTCCTTAATTTCACTTTCAGATTTTTCATCATTAGTGTATAGAAATGCAAGAGATTTCTGTGCATTAATTTTGTACCCTGCTACTTTACCAAATTCATTGATTAGCTCTAGTAGTTTTCTGGTAGCATCTTTAGGATTCTCTATATAGTATCATGTCATCTGCAAACAGTGGCAGTTTTACTTCTTTTCCAATTTAGATTCCTTTTATTTCGTTTTGTTCTCTGATTGCCATGGCTATAACTTCCAAAATTATGTTGAATAATAGTGGTTAGAGTGGGCAACCGTGTCTTGTTCCTGATCTTAGTGGAAATGGTTTCAGTTTTTCACCATTGAGAGTGATGTTGGCTGTGGGTTTGTTATATATGGCCTTTATTATATTGAGGTAAGTTCCCTCTATGCCTACTTTCTGGAGGGTTTTTATCCTAAATGGGTGTTGAATTATGTTGAAAGCTTTTTCTGCACCTGTTGAGATGATCATATGGTTTTTATCCTTCAATTTGTTTATATGGTTTATCACATTGATTGATTTGCATATATTGAAGAATCCTTGCATTCCTCGGATAAACACCACTTGATCGTGGTGTATGATCCTTTTAATGTGCTGTTGGATTCTGTTTGCTAGTATTTTGTTGAGGATTTTTTCAACTATGTTCATCAGTGATATTGGCCTGTATTTCTCTTTTTTTGTGACATTTTACTCTGGTTTTGGTATCAGGGTCGTGGTGGCCTCGTAGAATGAGTTTGGGAGTGTTCTTCCCTCTCCTATTTTTGGAAGAGTTTGAGAAGGATAGGTGTTGGCGTGTCTCTAAATATTTGATAGAATTCACCTGTGAAGCCATCTGGTCCTAGGCTTTTGTTTGTTGGAAGATTTTTAATCACAGTTTCAATTTCAGTGCTTGTGATTGGTCTGTTCATATTTTCTATTTTTTCCTGGTTCAGTCTCGGAAGGTTGTGTTTTTCTAAGAATATGTCCATTTCTTCCAGGTTGTCCATTTTATTAGCATATAGCTGCTTGTAGTAATCTCTCATGATCCTTTGTATTTCTGCAGTGTCAGTTGTTATTTCTCCTTTTTCATTTCTAATTCTGTTGATTTGAGTCTTCTCCCTTTTTTTCTTGATGAGTCTTGCTAATGGTTTATCAATTTTGTTTATCTTCTCAAAGAAACAGCTTTTAGTTTTATTGATATTTGCTATTGTTTCCTTCATTTCTTTTTCATTTATTTCTGATCTGATCTTTATGCTTTCTTTTCTTCTGCTAACTTTGGGGTTTTTTCTGTTCTTCTTTCTCTAATTGCTTAGGTGTAAGGTTAAGTTGTTTATTTGAGATTTTCCTTGTTTCTTGAGGTAGGCTTGTATTGCTATAAACTTCCCTCTTAGAACTGCTTTTGCTACATCCCATAGGTTTTGGGCTGTCGTGTTTTCATTGTCATTTGTTTCTAGGTTTTTAAAAATTTCCTCTTCAATTTCTTCAGTGATCTCTTGGTTATTTAGTAGTGTATTGTTTAGGCTCCATGTGTTTGCAGTTTTTACAGTTTATTTTTCCTGTAATTGATATCTAGTCTCATAGCGTTGTGGTCGGAAAAGATGCTTGATACGATTTCAGTTTCCTTAAATTTACCAAGGCTTGATTTGTGACCCAAGATATGGTCTATCCTGGAGAATATTCCATGAGCACTTGAGAAGAATGTGTATTCTGTTATTTTTGGATGGAATGTCCTATAAATATCAGTTAAGTCCATCTTGTTTAATGTGTCATTTAAAGCTTGTGTTTCCTTATTTATTTTCATTTTGGATGATCTGTCCATTGGTGAAAGTGGGGTGTTGAAGTCCCCTACTATGATTGCGTTACTGTCGATTTCCCCTTTTATGGCTGTTAGTATTTGCCTTATGTTTTGAGGTGCTCCTATGTTGGATGCATAAATATTTACAATAGTTATATCATCATTTTGGATTGATCCCTTGATCATTATGTAGTGTCCTTCTTTGTCTCTTCTAATAGTCTTTATTTTAAAGTCTATTTTGTCTGATATGAGAATTGCTACTCCAGCTTTCTTTTGATTTCCATTTGCATGGA